CCAGATGGTGGACACTGCCTCGAAGCATCGAGCTGAGTTTGCCTTTGCTCAGCTTGAGAACGAGAGATCTCTGACATCTCTTCGTGACGAGCTAAGGGTAGCTCGTGGGATTGTTGATCGGTCTCGGGCTGAGATAACTGCTCTTCAGACCCTTGTTGATGCCCACCATCGGGAGCACAAGGCTCTCTGCGAGATGCTTGAGCGCAAGGGCGTTCTTCATCGGAAGAAGCAGCGTACTGATGGTACGGCTTAAGCCGACCAACGTAAAACGTGGGATGCGTTCGCATCTTACGTGGTAACTCGATCGTGTATGCATTGCCTAGGCGGTGCAATACACGAAATGGGCAATGTACTTGGGTAGTAGTTTACTGCTACCCAAGTTGAGTCACTACATGTTTTGGTAGATTAACCGTAGACAGTAGGACTAAGTCACCTTTATTAAATAAAAGAGTGTTTGCCCTTCCATTCTTGTCAGCGTTTTGCTTTTTGCTTATCCACCGCTTCGGCGATGGAGTCTTGCACAAAACGGACTACCGTTTCACGAGCCAGTATGAACTCATCTGATGACTCGTTAGCTTCAGTGTGCTGTGAGCGCACTGCAGCGACAACAACCTTTTCTTCAGTGAGGGCTTCCGCACTCTCACTGGGATCATTGTCTTCAGTGAGGGCTTCCGCACTCTCACTGGCATCATCTTCTTCGATATCGATGTTATCGATATCGGCATCAAACGCAATGACTTCTTCGTCAGAGCGTGATGAGCGTGAACCAAATCGGTTTTTGCTCGCGCGAGTCCCTCCCCCTTAAACCAGAGTTACACTCTAGTAAGGTGGGTACACGCGGATGGCGCAAGCCATTCACGTAAAACGGTGTATGTGTCGTGGACGCATGCACCGAGTTGTTGATGGCAAACTCTACCATTGGCAAAAACTCACTCCAACTTTTAAAGGAGTGTACGTATCCTCGAAGTATCTCTTCGAGGACACGGTTGGCACGTTCCGTCTGACCATCTGACTCTGGATGATCAGATGTTGACATCTTCAAGCGCGTTCCGAGTGATTTGAACACGGAACGCCAGAAATCAGCAGTGAATCGTGGATCTCTGTCTGATACGAGTTCACGGGGCAACCCATGAAGTCGGAAGATGGTGTCAATAAAGACACAAGCACAGCCACTTGCCGTGATTGTCTCTGGTACAGCCACAAGGTGTACCATTTTGCTGAATCTGTCAACAAATACGAGAATACCCGTATTCCCGCGTGCGTCTTTGGGTAACCCGGAAGACGAAATCCATTGAGATGGATTCCCAGCACTCAGCCGGAACCGGTAGAGGCTGTAAAGGTGCACGCAGTGAAGGACTTGACTTCACTCGTTGGCAGACTTCGCATGCGCGAACATACTTTCGCACAAACTGATACTGGCGGGGCCAGTAAAAGTCTCGACTTACCGTGAGATATGTTTTCTCTCGGCCACGATGTCCTCCTATAGGAGCATCGTGATACTCGAACATGATCCGCAAACGCAGATCAGTATCATCTGGAATGACAACACGTGGTGTGTCACCAGAAACGGCTGTATAGTACAGTAAACCGTTACGAGTAGTGTATCGATCTGATGCAGATCGATACGCAGACGACAATCGTTTCAACGATTCTCGAGATGGTTGGGAGAGATGTGACAACAACTTCACTATCTCACCATCTTGGGCGTATGCCCGCCTCACATCATCATACAACGTTGTAGATGGAACTGAGGACGTCATAACCGCAACAGTGACTGTCTCACTGTTGGGTTTCGCGACTGTTTCAAAGTCGGGACGACGTGAGAGTGCATCAGCGACGACATTAAGTCGTCCTGGTTTGTACTCGACCGTAAAGTTGTATTCTGCAAAGAATGACAACCACCGCGCCATTCGTTGTGAAAGGTGCGGGCTGTTCACTGCCGTGCGTAAGGACGCATGGTCAGTGTAAACAACGAAGGGTCTATCTCCTAATAGATAGACTCTGAACTTCGCGAGTGCATACTTCATGGCAAGGAGTTCCTTGTCATGCACTGGATAGTTCCGCTCAGCTGGTTGCAGCTGACGCGACTGATAGCAGACGACGCGTTCAACGCCTTCAAGGTCGTACTGCATTAATGCACAGCCGATTGCGAAATCGCTGGCATCACAGACCACATGAAATGGCCTGTCCTGATCGGCTATTGCTAGGACTGGGGATTGTATCAAGCTCTGCTTGATACCATCAAAGGAGCGTTGACATTCAGCGTTCCATAACCACCTCTCGTTCTTTTTCAACAAACGAGAGAGGTGTACAGTCATCTCGGCGTAATTGCGTGAATACTTATGCAAATACGCCGCTAGCCCAAGGAATTTTCGAAGACCTTTGACATCGACCGGCACGGGCCAGTCGGTGATCGCCTTGATCTTTTCGGGATCAGGACGTACACCGTTCTTACCAACGATGCACCCAAGAAGTGGTATTTCGCTTGCTGCAAATATACACTTCTTGAGGTTTGCATACAATTGATGCTTTCGCATGATTGTAAGAACTTGTCGGACGTGGTACTTGTGAACCTCAACGTCCGACTTTCCATCCATAGCTCGACTATGGATGAATACGTCATCGAAATAACTCGGCGCGAATTCTCGTACTGGCCTCAACAGATGTGATACACACCTGTTGAACGTGGCAGGGGCATTACTGAGCCCTTGTGGCATTACTAGCCATTCCCAGAGCATGCCGCTAGGCGTGCTAACTGCGGTATAGGGTATATCCTGTTCCCGCATTAGGGATTTGATAGAAGCCATCCATCAAATCCATGGACGAAAAGATGGTACTCTTTGACATACCATCAATGATTACGTCCTTCCTCGGTATCGGCGTCTGAGCCGGTACCGTTGCAGCGTTCAATTTGTTAAACGCGTGCACTATCCGCCACCCTCCTGTTGCTTTTCGCACACAGAAGGTCGGAGAGCTATGTGGGGAAGTTGATTCCCTCACATGGCCCGCTGCTAAACGATCGGCAAAGAACTTGTCGATCGCAAGTACTTGTTCACGAGGCAGTGGCCACTGCTTCATGACACAGTACTTCGAGCCTGGTTTAAGCTCGACTTCGTGTCGAATACCTTTATCCTTCGGTAATTCGCACGGAACAGTTTCAGGGAATACATCCTTGAATTCAACCAAATCTTCATAGAGAGGATTTTCCTTGAGCGATTCCCATGATTGGGACTCATATCGCTCAATTCGTGTCTTTTCATCTAGGACACTCTCGTCCATAGATGAACTACTGAGAACTCTCTCGTTCTCAGTAAACACTGTTGCTGACCTTATGTCGGTTACATACTCGTCGTCAGCGACGAGTACGCAGATCTGCTTGACTTTGCCACTACGCAGATCACGCAAGAACCTTTCATGTTCGAGCGTTGGCAACTGAGTGATCTCCGAAGTCAACTTCGGAGGCGCAATCAGATCAAGTGTATAATCGCCTACACTTGATCCGTCATTGACTAGGACATTCAATGTCTCTGTCATTTCCTGGGGACTTATTCCCTCAGGCTTCGAAGGACTTATTCCTTCGGCTTCCCGGGGACTTATTCCCGCGGGTTTCGGGGAACTAATTTCCACCGTATTTGTAATATCGGGACTTATTCCTTTAACTTCCTCTAGCTGTGGTTGCGCAACCACAGCGAGATCCTCTACGAAAGACTCTCCAGTCGATCTAGGATTATCGTTTCGCTTAACCTGAGCGATCGATTGTTTCTCTTCTAGATGTTCCCCTCTAGGGATACATCTTTGTCCCAGTCCACCCGACTTATTCGAGTGGTGGACCTTCGGCGCAGCCTGTGTTTCCCTCACAGCCGCCGGAACTTTGCTCCGAAGTGTAACCGTTTGGTACACTAAGGTTTTGTGCAGTCGTACTAACGACCGTACCACAAGTGAGGCCATCGCACTCACTCGTAGTACATCCACACGCTTGTGGACGTTTCCAAAACGTTCATCAGATGGCCATCTGATGAACAAGCGGCAGGCATCGTTACTGTCCGATGTTGCCAGTTTACCCGTGGTTCGTACCTTCTGAGCCACGGTATTCCAAGGATGACATCAAATTTGTCATCCAAATCCAATACGATAAAGTCATCGTCGTATTGGGTATCTTCTAGCGTATAGTGAATCTTCACTATACGCTTCATGATGGTTACGGATGCGCCTGTCGCAAGACGTACCGTCATCCTCGTAGGAGGTGTGTCACATTCACTGAATTTAAAGTGACCATCTTCTAGCGATTGGCGTCGCACAAAATTGTTGGACGCCCCACAATCGACTAGAGCTCGAAGGGACAACTTATTCGTCACTTCGAGTTTCAAGGTAATGAGTGAGATCTCATTACCTAGAGCAGCAACGCACAATGTCTGTGTGTTGGGAGCAACCTTCATCAAGAGGCCTACAAATTCTCTTGACGTTGCTGGATCAGTAGGGTGCTCCGCACCTACTGATCCTGTCCGTTTTTTGACGGTCCATCCCTTTGTTGCGTCTTTGCACCAACTGCGGACCCTCGTCCCTGCCCCTTTCTCATGGGTGGACGGTCACTACGCCCAGTGTCGCGAGACACTGGACGAGGGGCACTACACTCGTAAGCGTAGTGTCCTGTCTCCTGACATCTGTTGCATCTCTGCAACTTCTTGTAGCCTGTAGAGCGAACCTTCTCGCTCTCTACATAACAGAGTTCCATCGGCTCTGGACCTCCGTTGTCATATCGTCTCGGTTGACGATATGATGTCGAGCTGGCGCGAGCCTGTCTCAGACTGAAGTCTTCCTGCTCCGCAATGGAAATGGCTTGTTCTAGTGAATCTAGTTCAAGCCGGAACAGGTGAGTCTTGACGGGACCATCCGCAAGACCCTGCATGAACACCGAAACCAACGTGTGTTCATCCACTGGATTGGAACTTATACAACTCGTAAGATGTCGTATATGTTGAGCGTAAGCGTGCACATCACGCTTACCCTGCTTGAGCTTCAAGAGTTCGGTTCGAGCCCGAACTCAGCTCTAGGCGGTTCAAACGTTTGTCTGAGCCGCGACTTGAAGACTCCAACGACCCAAACGCGTATGGGTCGTGCAGCTTGAGCCCCAGTGCCCAAGTCTTGGCACGTCCTGCCAGATTTGACTGGGCAAATGCAACTTGCATATCCCCGTCGTCGATGCGACGCGCCCTTATGGCGTCATCCAATTCGACGAACCATCTCAAGAGGGAGTCTTCTTCGACCCCTCTATACTTTGAGATGTCAATCTTCAAAGTCTCGGGCCGACGCGAGTGCATCGACCCGCCAGCAGCAGCCTGCTGCTGTCTCAACAGTTCAAACTGTTGAGCACCTTGTTCTCTCAACAACTCTGCTTGTTGAGAACCTTGTTGGTGAAGCAAGGCTACTTTCTCGCGTTCTGCGTCAAGTTCATTTTGAATGAACTTGGCGATAGTAGCATGTTGGGCATCTCTATTGAGAGCCTCTAGCATGACGCTAACAGCATGGATGCCCATGGTCGAACCCATTCGTTCAACCGCATCCCATTCGACATCGCTCAAATGGGAGTAGCCGTCACGCGTAGCGTGAAAGCTTTGGTCATCTTCATCATCCAACATATTCATGTTGGATGTGAACGCGGTCCTTGGACGGACTACGAAGTGCTACCAGGTGTAACGGGGGCACCCTGAAGCTTGTACTGGTGACAGTACAAGCTACTTATTCTGATAACAGAATAAGGCGGTGCCTCGTAACTTCACGTACACTCGTACGTGCAGAGGAAGACGGTAAGAAGAAGCGAGTACTCGGTTAGAGTAAAAGTAGAACTGTATTTATAATAGTTAATGTCTGCAATAAATCACTATTTATCTTCATCTAACTATGTCTAAATACAAATGTGTAAATCAGTTATCTGCTCACCACTCATTGCGTGCGTCTGTCGTGGCGCGTCTTCGTTGGTTGATATAATGGCCTATATCAACCAATTAGGAACTACTTGGAAGTGCTACAGGATATTGTCCTTATGACAATATTCTGAGAATATAACTCTTATAGTTATATTCTATTAACAATTTCTTATAAATTGTTATGTAACGATTCACCCCGTTACAAAAATGGAAGATCAGCTGGCAAACATCGGCATGGATGAAAGGGCTTCAATCCAGGTGCACGCGTCCCCCGACCAAGTTTTGGTCAAGGAGACTCCAGCGTTTCTCAACAATGACGTCAACCACTGGCTGGAGACCTCTCACATCGAAGATATAGAAATACCGGTCCTTTCGCTGACGCCGAGGGACCGGATCATCTCGAGACAATAGGCTGTGCGTAGGCGCTGTGCTGTTAAAGGACTAGTGCTACCTGGTTAATAAAGTAGTCGTTGCCGCGGCAGCTCTGCTGCCCGATGACAGGATATAGTGGGTCGCTCGCGTACTTAAATGTACCATACCTTAGCATCATCATCATTGTCATCACGGCCAAGAACTAGCTGGTAGCATCTTGTGAGCAGAACCACCGGTAACCTTTGATTTTACTTAATAGGGCATCGACTGCAAGCATCGCGAATACCATTCTGCAGTGACGGCGCTAATTCACTTGTAGTCAAAAAAAAAAGACTCCATTCTTGTAAGGAGCAATAAACATTTAGGAAGCCCACGGGCTTCAATAAAATAATATTAGTATCGTCTCCATCAATCCTTTTATTTTTTATAAACTTGGACAGTTGACGTGGAGATACTCGTCTAGCTCGTTGTGTAATAGAGTTTCGACCTAGAAGATTGACATCACATACGACTCCGAAGCAGGTGGTGGTAAAGCGCTTCCACATTAGGTAAAGATCTTTGCATGCTTTTGTAGTGGAATGACTACCTGAATATATTGGAATATAGTATGGGCTGTGTGACGGGTAACCCTTTGTTTGGGGTGCCGCGAAACTTCACGTACTCTAGTACGTGCAGTGGAAGCTAATCTACTCAAACAGGTGGTCTAAGCAAAAAGTAAAATGAGAACTGTATTTAATATAGTTAAGCTGTTAATATAACTTCAGTCCTCATTTAACTACATAATCTACATTGTCGTATGACGACAACCTGCTCACCACTCATTACGCGCCCAGCAGCGATTAGTGGTAACCTTGGTTATTATGTCTTTATTAACCAATCTTTGAGCAGCACATAAACAATATCCTACAAGGGGACAATATTCCTTCAATGCTTTCCATCTCGAATAATATTGATAGGAGATAGTCACGCTAGAAACTCTCCCTATTGACACCGTTTGGTGTCAATATCATGTAGAGGGCTACCCCGTTACAGGCTGAGTGTACAATTCTCTCCATTGAAATCCAGCTTGGTCGGTGTCAACTCCGTAAAGAGCGATAGTAACGAGAGTTTCTGTGCGGAGTATTTTAAACTATTACTGATGGCTTGTTTCACGAGATCAGCCAAACCGATGGTGAATGCTTACAATGTATCAACGCTACCCTATACGTCGGTCGCCTTTAGTGCGCAGAGAAAACGACGATATAGATCATCAAATGGTGTACGGTTGTCGCCGATCTAGCCTCGCTTGGCTGTCACATGTCATTAAGTCGGGTGCTCGGACCAGTCCCGGCATCCTCTGAGTTCTCGCCAGCACTTATCTCGTCGAATTCAAAAGGCAATTCTGTCTCACTATTTTTATTGTCATCCTCATTATCGATCACCGACCACATCATTCTCCGAGAATTGGTGTCCACGGCTTTTCTGGTACTGGCTGTGTCACTAGCCATCACCCCATCGATGATCGACTCGTGGGCTTGATTTGATCTTGTCATGATCGGAAACTTGTCACCTTCTTGTTGCTACTCGATGTGGTCGTTCAGCAATATTGTTGTAACTTACCGAGAGGAATAGTTAGTTAAAGAACATCCACAGGTTGTTCGTAGGTTCGACTTTTGACTGAAGGAGGTTGCTGACAAAGTTACTCCGCATGCAGTCGCTGTTACGAAGTGAAAGATGTATTGTCTAAAACATACACATACGCCAGTACTTTCCAATTACGACATTTCGATGCTTCTTTTTCTGACGTAAGCCACGTGGTCACAATTTATGTGAAAACTACAACAGGATTAGGAAATGCGTAAGACAAGACTATACCCTCGACATTACATTCTACACGCGCAACTTCGTCGCGTGGTCGTTTCTGTTGTGCAATATCGTCGGCATCAAGCCTGGTAGGCGGCAATGTTAAAATCTATAGGCTGTATTTTGATTTCATGACTATTTCAGCAGGAGGCTATTAATGTCAATCGATTCAGTTAGTTCTCCGATGACTTCTTTTCCGTGGGTTAATACGTCATCTTCCCGTGCCAACCTGAGCAACCAAACCACAATTTAGTTTAAAAATTTCGACGTTATATTGAACAGATTTAGCCGGATCCCGTCTGACATCATATATTAAATTTAAAAAGGAACGTCCACTTCAGCATAGTGTGGCATAATCTGTACTCCAAATTCGTAGGCGACTTCTCTATCTAGTGTCTTTTTGCGTGTTGATCTTGACGTGGTGACGACTTTCGACTTCCCAATACTTTGGAAATCAATTTGCTTGTTGCTTGTGGGACTTCGCAGTCGCAGTATTTTAGCGAAAGGTCTGCTAATTGCTAAAATGTTATCTCCAGTATCTGATTAAATATTAGTCTGTTCGTCTTTGGTAGCGCCTATGACCAGTGCATACATCAGAACTCGGCGATCGAACATCTTCAACGACCACCATAGAAGACGTTCGCCTTGTTGGACTTGTACTTGTCCCTTCGTCCGCATCTTTGGCTTTCTTCAAATGCTCGCGTCCATTCGTGCGACCGTTCTGTTGTCACCATTGTCCCACTCACTCCGCTCTCCTTGTTCCTTCCACACGTTGGACTAGTTCAAATTGAGATGAAATCAAACACGTTCCATATCCACAGCTAATTCGAATAATGCGGCAGCTCGTTGTAATTCGAACCATTTAATATCAGTGATTCCGCTAGTTTAAATGGCCCGAAAAGTTATGTCGTTGAGGTCTTCAGGAACTAACGACTTGTTCACTGTATTTTTAACAATCGTGGTGAGTTTTACACGTTTCGCAAACAGCCTACGCGATCCATCTCATGGTAGTGTTTCCAGAAATTTCATCGCCGTCTGTATAAGTTATATTCGTTCCCCATGGCACCGCATCCTCCGCAAGGTCACTATATTCGGCGTTCACGCGACAAATTAGTGTGTTTTTTGCAATCTGATTCCTCTCTTCGGTCGACCTACATGATCGATCGATTTACCGGCAGTGCGTAAGTGAATATTGTTTATGGCAGCTCCTATTTTCAGGGTAAGAATCAATTCTGCACTTCTGCACCTTCGGTCAGCCTGATCGTGAGTGCTCTCGTCGCTCGCCACGTCATTTAAACTAGCTTTTTTGATGAATTTTACACTCTTTAAGTGGTGCTTGCGGATCTTCTGCCGATGCTGTCATTGGAGTAACTCAACAATAAAAGTTTAGTCTCGATTATCGTTCCACCTAGATTAGCTTTGTTAGTATTGTGGCGGAGTGGTGATCGCTCATTCCTTGATACGATCCCGACTCTCCACTGACGCCCAGACGACCGACTGACGGAGGGGGTACTCCGATTCTGTGTATTTTGCTTATCTCACCTTGTGTACCCGTCGGTACGGCGGATAGCACTCTTCCAGGTGGACTCGTGTCAAGCGAATATTTTACCGTGTTGGGGATGGGATTGTGTGATCGTGCAAAAATCTTCGTGCGATCACTGGAGTGTCGGTGGGATACTTATATAAGTTACCCTTATCTCAACGAGATCGCCTTGCTTATTGTGTATATTCTTGATACGCGAGCCGTCTCGCGATCTTGTGCTTTGTCTTTTCGTGTTTTGCTGCGTCCGATCGCAGTTGTAGTTACCTGAAAATCTTAGAACGCACCTGACCAAACAATCCAGGTGCGACACTTGTATGGAAAGGTAACACGAGTCTTATTCGTCGGGAGGCCAAAGATCCTGCTCGGAAGAGATTGCACCTGTCTTTTGAAGTAAATTGAATTCTTTAAAGCTAACCAATCAGTCTTTAACCTACCCCTATGCCTTAGAGAGGACGAAGATCGTCCTCTCGTATTAGTGTGGCCTACACCAGGTGTATTGGCAGTCAAATCTCCGTGTGGTCCACCCGAGATATCACCACCACTTTACCTGTAATCGTGATCCCAGGTCCGGATTGCAATCCTAAGCCAGGATTGTGATCCTAAGGTGAGGAATTACGAATCTTCCGTTGCCCTGTCTCACGATGAAAAACGCAATCCAACTGGTCCCACTGTCATCCAGCCTTGTCCCACGTGAAATCGATCCTGCTTACTGGGGTTAGGTGCGCTATTGCAAGTCACCCGTCCCAGTTTGTGTCCACCAAGTATAACGCTTTGGACCGAGCTGAGGTGTGCAATCCGCCCAGTCCCCTAGTCCAGCTCAACCGTAAATTTCCTTGTGACCATTTTTTTTACAACCGTCCCTGCACCGTTAGTAAATGTAAGGTAACATTCTGGCTGTGTAATTTTTATGAATTGTCCCAACTGTCTTCATTTTCACGTACGCCGTCCCGATGGCCGATTT